TTGAGAAATGCTGGTCTGTTTTGCAGAGTAACTCAAACATATTTAAATACATAAATAGAAATAGTCTTTTTTTAAAAACAAAATAGTATGATCCTACTGTTCGTGCAGCTCTCTCTGCTTTACTCGCGTGTGTGATAGGGGGTGCCGACACGTACACCGACAAGAGGAATTCTTACTGATCCTGCAAACACATATTGTAATTTAAGGCTGTTCAGGTTAGTAATTTTTTGTTGAGTTTTGATAATTATTGCAATTAGCGAATGTTACATATATGTGCTAGTCAGATTGCTGAACCTAGTAAATATTGTCAAGTCCATTGTATAGATTATGTATACAAAATGTTAGGGTGATCAGAGTTCATCAATCGCGATGTGAATTTAAACCTGCAAACCCAGCACAAGTCTGACAACGTGTGTATTACTCATTGATCATGATTTGTTTTCAAAATGGCGGCCATCCATACATTGACATACTGTGTTGATTGCAGGTTAACACAAAATGAACGCAGCACTCAAAGCAGTTGCCAAAGCTGGCCAAAAAGTTGCATCATCAAAAAAAGCTGGTGAGATTTTTCATGGAATAACAGAGGCTGCAGGGGCAATGTCCGCTAAAAAAGAGGAGCCTGCTGAAGGGGGAGAAACAGAGGAGGGTGAAGAACCAACCCAAACAAGTCCACTTCTTGAAGACGAGAAGGCGAAGGCAACAGAGGGTGCGGACTCCAAAGAAGCCCAGCCTGCTGCCGCTGCTTCTCTCGTGGGCGGTATCATGAATCTCGTTCAGAAAGACAAAGGAAAAACTGGAAAAAAAGATGCAGAGGCAGGCAAAGATGGAAAGAAAGAACCAGAGCCGTTACTGACAAAGTAAGTGACAATAGCTCTCGGATTATTAAGAAAAAGCAATATTTTTTGAGGGTGGGAATGTGGCTCAGCATTATGCGCTGCATTGGCTGGTTGGTGACATCATTTTGTTTATAGAGAGTGTTGCGTGATTAGGAAATATCTGCCTCAGTGCCATATAAATGTGTGGGGATTCCTGCACGTCTACGTTAACAAACATGTTGACGAATCCATGTAACGATTTAATAAATTGACCAAACAGCACAACAAACATTATTGTTTTCAAGGCGATCTTGATTAAAACATTATCCGCGAATGTACTACATTTTAAATTTGAAAAAAAAACAGTTAATAGTTTGCGTTGTGTTAGTGACGCATACGCGATGTGCATTTACGTATTCATTTACGTATTTTGACAGGATATCTATTCTACTTACTATACTATGTAAATATAAACTACTGTTCGTTATACTGGTATCGATGTACCCACATTATACGTTTGTACTATAACGCGCCCCAACGAACGAATTTTCATTTGACAAAAATGATTTTACACTTAATTTTAAATATTGACAAATTAAACGTTTCTACATGAACTCAAGTATGGTACAGACATACACAACATCTACCATTTAGAAATAGTTGGTTTTCGGCCATAATGTAATAAATGAGTTAATTCGGAAACCCACGCTATGTTGTACACTTACACGTCATTTTGTTTGGTACTGTGACCAAAAATGGTAGACTGTTGGTCTTAATTTAAAAAAAATTACGTCGAACCTTACGTGCCATGTTTATTTGAAATATTTATGGAATATTATATCTCTTACTTAAGATTGGTGAAAAGCGGGGTTATGCTTGCTCCAGCAATAAAAGACAAAGCTATGGAGAAGATGGTAAGTTGTTAGATGAGTCATATTTTCTATGTGAAACATCACAATAAGTGTTCCACTTCGTATTGCATTCACGGCTTCACATCAAATATACGTTTGTAATCTTTTTTCATTAGAGCACGTGGCCCAAGCCGGTGAAAGTGATTGTTATCATTATTGTAGTACTAATACTTCTAGGAGCAGTCGCTGGTCTTTTGGTAGTATTTGTAGTGCTACCAGCACTTGAAACTAACTCTAGTAAGTATGGCAAGCAAACCAAATGGGTGAATTTTAAAATACAGTAAAGGATTGTCGTGTGATACCCATATATGTGGTCAACATCTCGTATGTTGTGATTACTAACTGATACCACAATTCAAACGGATGTAAACACAAATGAAACTGTGTGCAATTTTTAGTTTATTAACAAATCAATATACATTTCCTGGCAAAAGAAATATTATTCAAAATATGTGTATAATGCAGTGGCGGATCCAGCAAAATGTATTTGGGGGGGGGGGGTCCAAGCTACGCTTAAGATATACGGAGCGTAAATCGCAGAGAAGCTATGCGTAATCCAGATGATACTAATCATCATGCGTTTAAGGGGGCAATGCCCCCCTGCCCCCCTCTGGATCCGCCACTGGTATAATGTTGATTCCAATTAATAATAGTGGCTGCAATCTGCATGATATCTGTCAGTTGTCAGTATCAGGAAATATATTTGTAATACAATATGTTATCACAGGTATTATTATTTACATATTTCATCTACATGATGTGCATTGTGACAAATTTAAAAATGAGTGGATCCACATTATTCGATTAACTTGATGAAATACTCCTTTTAAACTTTTCACTAATAGATTTTCTCGCCCAAATTTTTCTCAACTTTTTTTTTTATATATTCTCCAATATCTCCCGGAATGAATCCTAATATTGGAGCCAACAGACAGAATTTGAGTCAATTTTCAGTTTTTACTAAACAAATTCTGCTGTTTGTGTTCAAATCTTCTGAAGGAAGGTGCAGACTCTAAACGAGAATATTTTGTGAATTTGTGATCGAAATGGAGAACTGGTAGAAAAAAGTTAAACTACACTTTTTCGTCCGAGTTGGTGACAACTGATGTTAATTTTATTATTTGCTATTTACTAATGCAATAGGGAAAGATATATACATAAGCTAAAGCATGGTGAAAAAAAACAACAGACATGATTTGTTCTTTTCCTGCAGATTTGTTGTGATTTCTTTTTTTATAAAAAAAATCATAACATATTGACCTTAGACTGTTTATTCTATTGGATATGTGATGTATAATTGTTGATGGCTAAAAACATTAATGTTTATTCTTCAAAATAATTATAGTAATAATTAATATTTCCAGTATGCGTTCAGTCTAATACATCCAACAGTATGATATGTTCGTCATCTTAAAAAAATATATTTGTCAAAGATCACCAAAAATAGAACTGCTATCATACCCCCACAATACATTTAAGGTAGAGATGCAGGTTCGTGGGCACTTGGGAGTGAAATTCTTATTTTTGCTTTTTAATATCCAAACAGTCTTGGCTATAGACTGTTAAAATTGTGTAAAATTGTGAATAGTGGAACATACTCAAAAAACGATTTTAAAATATAGATAATAGGTGCAAACATTCTCTCTTTTGAATGCTTAGCAAGATTGAGCATAAATAATAAAAAAGAAACATGGTAAAAAAAAGAAATGACGGAATCTCCATATGCACTATATTTAACTTTTTAACAAAACGATAATGCATTTAAATTTGGAACTGTTACAGTCATTTTAATTATGAGCATTAGCAAACTTCTCAATGAGTGAATTGTTATGCAAATTAGCAATTATCTCAGCTTTTTTTTAGTGCACATCCCAGAACTTTAAAAAAATATCTTCTAGACGCTTTGACCTTTTTGTTTTGAAATTTTTACAAATGATTGACAATGTGTTTTTCTTCAAAACGCCGTCGGGGCATTGTTTTCGGTTGGTTGAACAGTCGTACAGACAACTGCCTGGGTGTTAATTTATGCATAAATTTGAAGTAGTAAAATTTGAGCTGCTGCCCTGCAAAACTGGTAGACAGTTTTCAAGACGGCACTTTCTTCATAGTAAACAGATGTACCCATAAACCAATTTTGACAGGAAACAGAAGCATAGCTTAGAAGCTAATTTTTTTTAAATCACTTTTGACCAAAAAAGCATTTTTGTGCATATTTCAAACTACAGTGTTCATAAAAAAATACTAACAAAATTTCAAAATTCATACAATAGACTTTCCGAAAATATATAGTTTTGTGGACAAGGGAGGTCATCTTGGTTTCCTAATTAACTAATTAAAATACCTGTCAAGTAAACTGTATCTCTACCTTAAAGACGGTAACACTATTTATCTTTTTAATCACCAGCAACAACTGTAGCACCAGAAACAACTACGGGGATTGCAACTACAATTTTAGAGCAGACTACAGAGTACATTACAGGTAATCTACAGTTTGATATTCGAATCTTTCAATCATTAGCTGTATATTTTAATTGATGTTTAAAATTATAAACACACTATTTGTAATACAAGACTAACATTGTATTTCTCAATTGTTATTACAGAATATACTACGGTATAAGGTAAGTCAAATTAAATTACAACAAACTTCTCTATATGTTCTGATGCTGAGTACACCACAATTAATTATTTTAGACAGTTTAGACATGTATGGACACTTTCATTTTCATAGGTTTTACTCATAATTGTTTAAACAAATTATGACAAAGTGTACAGAGCTTTTATTTGACTAATTACAGTTAGACATTTCAGTTATTGTTATGGCTGTCACTGCAACTGTTTCGTTAACCGAATCGTAACGTAGCTGTTGATCAAGGATGTATTCATATCTTAACAAGGATTTGTGATTGGTAAAATGCCAAAATGTATATCCCTTTATGTACATTAAAATTGTATTAAGTAAATGCATTGAAAATTAGGATGTGAATGTGAGAAAAGATATATTCAGTGAATGTGACAATTCTATTAATATGTTTCAAAATATTAATTGATTAATTAATTCTTTGCAGGGAACACAGGGACATTATTAGGAAACATGGATGGCCGTATTGTTATAATCATTTGAAGATATTTAATTGAACGCATGGTTTGATAAACACTAATTGTGTCTCGAATATTGCGATTAACTGTAAAACATTGTATTAATGATTTATCGGATTAGGGAAAATAGATGTATATAGTTTTTATCTTAAATATATATGCATACATGTATAGTATGTTCATTTATTCTATATAAATTATAATGTAACAAAGTATTTTTCATACATGAGGTTACTAAATTTACTGTTGGTGTGTCAGAAGTTTAGTAATTTTGTAGAATAGCGTAGCCAACGATGGGTTGTAATGTAAACTGTGACCTACGTGTACATCTGTATAATATAAAAGTTGGGGGTGAACACGCCCGTATTTAACCACATTTCACTCTACCAGGTACTGGAATAATGTGTGCATCTTTAGAAACCATATATATTCACATATACCCGCGCTTTCTGGGGATGCACATTCACATAGTTGAGTAATTATAACTGACACAGAACGTCCAAACAATTTTGCAGATTTTCTATTTAATACTGTAAGTAATACATAGCTTTCCATAGAATAGACTTTGTTTCAAACCAGATTAATATGCTTTATTTAAATTGCATCTGTTATTGTGTTCGGAAGATTTGAACGTTACAGTACTATAGGCACTCATATTGCATGAACGACGTCAAACTAGTGCCTTCCATGTTTCAATCTGATTATTGCCGTGATTTGTATTTTAAAGTGTACGATATATCGGAGGTGTAGATAGAGTAGGTATGGATGTGTGTATGCTTTTGTTTTTTAACTTAATTTGTTACTTAGAGTTTTAATATAATCTTCTGAGCATAAAATATTGTAGTTAAAGAATAGTTGGGTGTATTTCTTTTTAAAATAAAGATAGTTTATCCTGAAATTATGTATCCTATGTCTTATTATGAGATTGAATGATTCGATAGTTCGCAGTTATACAATCCGTTTGTACATCACATTTGCATTTAATAATATTTCATAGTCGGCTCCTTCATACCCATTGATGATACTTGTTCTAACAGAGTAGAACAACAAGAGTTAAAATGTATTATCTGAAAGCTTGGATCTAGAAGACTACCGCAGTGCATATGTCGTGCCAATATTTTTCTAAGGGATAACCTAAGGGTCTTTTTCATTATTGGCGTTTTTACAATTCCGACTAAATGTCACATTAAGTCACACTAGCTATGACCAAACAGCTACAAATATATTAGGGTTTTGACTGGCTGTTATTCGAAAACAAAGGCATAGTGTAAAGCCACAATTAGATTTCTTACCTACAAAATGTGTCTGTCATGTAATGAATTGACCAGACTATGATACAGTTTATGATTACCGTTATCGCCAATATTTAAGCTTTTAGATAAAGTATAGGTTGCTATAGTAACAAGGAAATGGGCCAATATTTAGAATAATGTGCCATAAAATTAGTTATATTTATTATAACTTTATTCGATAAAGCTGTGATTAAGGCCATCATGAAAGCCTACTTTATGTTAAAATAGTCAAGATTCATATCACGGAAACAAGTGTTTGCAACAATGCAAAGTCTAAACTCACCGGCTATAACCTACTTCTGTAGCTTAATACAGATTATCCGTGTGTTGGTGTGAAATTCCTAGTTCTAATATTGTTTTAAAATTTGACCCAATATCAAACTTGAATTGCCTTCCATTAAACGTCATCAAAGATGGCCACCACTGGCAGGGTTTTATATACATGGACCTGAAATAATGGTATGCAATACAATGTACAAGTTGTATAATTGCAGCAGCGAAATAATCTTGCTCACTGTACAGTTTCTGCTGGGTGCTTTGCAATCAATTGATATACTGTATGTGGTGTTTGAAGACGTAAGTATGTTAAACAGTCTGTAGATTAAAGTGAATGTATCTGTATTCTTAATCTGCCTAAGCCACAGGTACAACCACGGGGGAACAGAAGAGATTTCAAATAAATATTTGAGAACAACGTAAATTCTGAAGATAATTTAGATAATGAACTACTGGGATCCTGAAACGTTTGTGTTAAATAAAGACGCCTATTGTAAAAGTTGTAATGAAGGCAGACATTTACGTGTATCAAACATGATCTACATTTATACATAGTTGTTTCGTCTCAAATAATTGTATGTGTATGTTTGATATACCAAGGAACATAACGTATATACACTGGATTATTATATTTAACATCAAATACCGTTCACAATGTATATAATGAGCAAATAATGTAGCGTAAGTTAGACGGTGAGGGCGTTTAAAAATGGATCTAACTGAAGTTCCTAGGAAACATCTCTTTTCAACAGCTTTTTTCAAGCAACAAAAGGGATGTTTTTCTTACAATGTCTAATGCATTTAAAACATTGTAGACCAAGTTGGGCAGTTAATGGTGCAATAAAGATTGTACAGGGATTGTTTGAGATATTGCATGTAACTATATTCACTATGTGTAACCACACACAGTTTTCAAGATACGAGGTTACAGCTATCCACATGAGGAATACTTGACTTTCTTTATTTAGATCAAATACAAAGTAGTATAATATAATGAATTAAAAACATTTAATTTTCATGTTTTTGTTAAAATGCGTTGCCCAAAATGACAACTTTTGTTGCCGGATATGCACGTAATATCTACACATCACTGTGTCACACCTTAGTTACTTATACCGATATACAATCACATTCGTTAAATATTTCCAAAATTAAAGGCCCAGTCGTTTAATACAATAATTTCAGTTGCACAAGTTCATGCCTACATACATCGTCACAGGTAGATTCAGGAGAGGTTGGCTACGTGTTTTTTCTATTTACAGTCGGTAGAAAAATGGAAGAAAATAAAAATATTTTACTTATCTAGTACAGTAATTATTGGTCAGTTCCATTATGAATATTTGTTTGCTCACTGAGCCTAACGCATGCATGTTGTATTTTCATTATTGTGCTTTGTTGTCACGAATCTGGGCACATGATTGCATTATGTAAAAAACTTAAAGATGGCGGTTTGTTTAAAAAATGTTATTTGTATATTAGAACATGTCATATATTTATAGTACGTATCTGAGCACAAATGGACTGGTTGCAATACATTCACAGTTGACTTTTACAAGTGTAGATTACCTACACCTAATTTGCATAATTGCCTACAATAATGACGTAATCATCTTATTCACTTGATATTTAGGTATATCAGTTTACAACAGAACGTTGTGGTCTGATCCTGGCCAACGAACGAAGCAAATTGAAATACAGCATGGATACACCGCATCGCGGGCAAAAATAACTCCTATACTCCCATGACCAGAAATGAATAAAATACAAATGAAATAACACATAGATTAATAGTTAATATGTGTATATTCACTAATAAAATTGTCGCATATACAGATGCAATGAAGAAACACGCGAATAAAATGAAGAAATATCAAAAAGAAATAAATCACTATGATATTGTAATATTGAAATTTTTGCATGGATGCTGCAAAATAATAAGTATTTTTAATTTTAGTAGAAGTATGCCACCCTGACGACTAAAGACCAATTGAGCCTCGTTTTCGGAATTTGCTGTCAACATTATCGACATTTACCCCCATGGCCATGCGACTAATTTGCATAGTTTGTTCATGTCTCATAAGGTTGTTTGTGCAAAGAATGTTACCTCAGAAATTACACACCCATAACATTAAGCAATGAATATATGCTATCAAAATATGTCCTAATAGTTTAAGTTATTCAACAAATGCCATGAAACCTCAATATTAGAAGCAACTATCTCATTTGCATATCAGTTGTAGACAATATCAATGTTATTTCACTACAAAACAACTGTGAAATCTGTAACGCAATACATATAATATTATGCTTTATAAGACAACATATATTAATTTTACAATTATCAATTATCAATAGCGTCATAGAGATATGGTACTTTTTGGTATTTATGGGGTTTCCGAATTTCCATAAAGACTTGTTCAAAGAGACATTGTCTATTTTTTTGTCCAAGCTAGTAACTATTAACCACATGTTTTGAAGGCAACGACGTAACCGTAACATTGAAATTATTTTTGTTAACTGATCTGCGGTTATTCTGTCTTGCAGTTAACCGCAGATGCTTTTAAAACAAACCCCACTTGATTATGACACAGATTGATATTAATATATCTTGACTATTGTTAGTCAGTCTATGGTTTCGAATATTTGTATTTTTTAAATTTTATTCTCAAATTGGTTTCAAATAACTGGAAAATCGACTGCAAGATCGGAAACGTTGCGTTGTGGACTTTTGAAATTGCCTAAATTGTTAACATATTGAAAGAAATGTCCGAAAATGTGTTTTAGAGGACTGGAGAGTCGTCTGTGGAAACGTAAATTGAATGAATAGGACGAAAGTTGTCAAAAATGTTCAAAAAATCATTTGAGAAGACGAGAATAGCAATTCAGAGAGGTGGTTATATTAGAACGTGTGATAATATACTGTAGTTTATCTTTTAATCACTTCTGTGCGTGTCGTATTCACGTATCATCTCTTTTGTGATATTTTTTGTGCACCAATTTCGTTCACATCTTCATTTTAGTCAGGTGGTAAAAAACAATTCTCGGCCACCGTTGCCACGCAAACAGCCCAAAACTGATTTTTGAATACTTTCACGCAAAATATATCTCTTCCGAGTAAAAACGTAGAACATATCTCATTTTTTTATTTATTTGTCATTGCCGAAATTTGACATCGCGTAACTTTTTGTCAAAAACGGCCTTCTAAATATCTACGATTTTGGAAAGAAGGGCTAGGTTATTATTGACCAAATTTCTATCCTATTTTTGTCATGTGAATGGGCGAAACTTCAATTTTGTTTGTAGCTTGCGCAATATATATCATCGTACAAATCCTTGAGTCAAATTATAGGACATATGTCTAAATTTACTATTTGGTTTTTAGTTGACGCCACTGCTTTTACTGAACTGACACGAGCAAGTGTCACACCTGCACCCTAG